TAGGGTGCCTTCTTGGATAATAGCTTCAATGTTGGCATGCACGAAGGGCTTAAGTGTGAGACAGAAGAGATAGGCTTTAGTGCGAAATAGAAGAAATGGTTTATAGAGTGTCTTCTTGAGTCACGACTTTAGTAGACTCAAGTGCGAGAGAGAAATGAGGGTTTGTAGAAAGTGTTTTCTTGGGTCATGACTTCAAGGTCCTTGTACATGAAAATGAGTGATAAGCATCAGAGTGTATCTCTTGGGGTCACAGTTAAAATATTGGTGAAGAAATGATTAGTGATAAAATATTTTTGTATCCTTCAATACCAGAACAAAGAATTTATTATTGGTGATGAAATATTTTTGTCTTCCACGACTTAACCTTATGAGATGAAAAATATATTCATCACGCATTCAATTAGAATTTATTAGTGACGAAATATTTTCATCTCCCATAGCTTATTCTTCCAAGACAAAAATATATTTGTCACCCATTTAATAGAAAGATGAAACGGCATCGTTTGCATGATGGAGTGTTTATTGATGATGAAATATTTTCGTCTTCCATAACCTATCATTCCTAGACAAAAATATAATTGTCGCCTAATAAATGGAAATATACAACGACATCGTTTAATAGGTATGGAATTTATTGGCGACGAATTACGTTCGTCACAAAAAAAATTATATTTTGTGACAAAAATGTTTGTCTCCAATGAGCTAAAATAATTCGCGCCAATTCAAATGAAATTGGCGCCTCATTTTTGCACACGAAATTTTGTTTTCGTCTCCTATACTTTTGAGAAAAATTAAAACAAACGACAAAATTAATATTTCGTCATCTTTGGGTTAAATTTTAAGACAAAAAAAATTTCGTCACCAAATTTTGTCACAATAGCGCAGATTTCTTGTATTTTTTATTGATTTTAAGCATTTGGTGACGAAATTTGGTTTTCCTCTCTAAAAATAATACATTTGGAGACGAAATTATTTCCTCTCTAAAATTTTTTACAATGGTGACGACAAATTTCGTCTCCAAAATGGCGCCAAATCTTCCACCAAATTTTCCAAGGGCGGGAAATTGTTTTGTGACGAAAAATAAAATTTAGAGACGAATAAAATTTTCGTCACCTATTGTTTTATTTGATGTTACTGTGAGAAAGAATAGTAGCTTATAACTCTTCTGTTTTTTTTTTGTGGATAGGGATTTACTGTGAGAAAGAATAGTAGCTTTGCACAAAATGTCTTCTTGAATAACAATGTTTGCATGCACAAACGGCTTAAATGTGAGAGAGAATAGAGAAACTTCAGTGCGAAATAGAAGAGATGGTTTATAGAGATTGTTTTCTCGAGTCACAACTTCAATACTTGTGAGAGAGGAGACTCAAGTGCGAGAAAGAAATGAGGGTTTGTAGAGAGTGTATTTTCGGGTCACGACTTTAGTTTTTGTGTGTGTGCGAAAGTAAGTGATTAAGGTGAGAGTGCCTCTTAGTTTCTGACAACATTTTAATAAAGAGAAATAATTAGTGATAAAATATTTTGATTTCAAAGAATTTTTTATATTTGTTCTTAATGCATTAAGGTGTTATTATGAGGGTAAGACTTGGGGGTTGGGAGAAGTTAATAGATGTTAAGGTTTTTTTTTTTTTTAAATAAAAAAAATCAGGAAATTTAGATTGGGAGATTGGAGCTCCCACATGGCTTTGGGTTAAAAACCTCATTTTGCTTAATATATAGGATAGATAGATAGATAGATAGATAGATAGATATAAACATATAAATAGATAGATAGATAGAGATATGACACACACCATTATATGACACAAG